TAACAAAAAAAAAAAAAAAGGTCATATCGTACCACAGCCCCGCACCTATCAAAACTTTAATTTATCAAATAATATTTACAATGTTAAAGACAAATAAACTATATCAATAAAAACTTTATACTGTGTTTTACTATAAAAACTAACAAAAATACAAAATCTTTATTTTCTTTACATCTTAAAAAAACTTAAGAGCCTTATATTTTTGCCATGTATGTATCTCATAAGAGTGGAAAGATATGATCATGTATCGATAGGATATACAATGCATACAAAAATCCTAAACTACAATACTTTCTTCTAATAACACCTTCTAGTATTTACTTATGCAAAACACATTAAACATTATGCATTAACATTATGTATTATTAATAAATAATATACAAGAGTGATAACACTGCGTGAGTAGAATGTTGAGGTTAGCTCGTGATAAATAGGATAAAAGTGCTCGGGATGAAAATGTAGTCAGTAGTACATACATGACCGCGTGTACAGACGCAAGCTCTGTATTACGGAACACATATCCTACACGTTAAAACTGCCGTATATTTCAAATTGGTGAGATATAAGACAGCTATCTAAATAAAGAATACAAAACTTACGTAATTTGCTTGTAATTTGCTATATACTCCATCTTTTACTACTCTTCTACATTTATATATCGCACAATGACTGCTAAATTTTTTATAAACTTGTAATAATCATTTTACGTAAAATATAGTTGCGCTACTTATCATGCTGACGCTTATCAACTAAACTTACGATGGGTTTGTTAATATAAAATTATTATTGAACAAAAAAGTTAAAATTATAACACTATTGGGATATAGTTCCGAATGACCCCTGCTCCCGATCAATCTGAAATTTTGCACAAAAAAAAATAGTGTTCGATGGGACAAACAAAACGCGCGTAATCCCCGAATTTTAACGTAGCAGGTGATGGGTGTAGACAGTGCTTTGCACGAAAAGTTCTACTCTCTATTGTGTGAAGCTTTGGAAAATTAGATCTATGACTACGTTTACACATACTGGTAAAACCGTTTTAATAAAAACCGTTTTAGATGTCTTTAGTACAAAACCGGACTTAGATGTCCTGTAAAAAAAAGAGCCTTCTACAATAAGATATTAATACTAAATCAGAAGTCAAAAGCAAGAAATTGACTAATCACAATCGATTATTCTTCTGTGATTTGATTGTGATTGGTCAATTTCTTGCTTCTGACTTCTGATTTATTACTAATATCTAATTATAGAAGACTCTTAAACGTTCCTTGTACTGATGTTATTAAAACTGTTTTAGTAAAAAACCAGACTTAGGTGTCCTGTAAACGGACATCTAAGTCCGGTTTTGTACTAAAACGGTTTTTATTAAAACGGTTTTGCCAGTACGTGTACACGTAGTCTATAATTATATCGTACCACAAATTTAATTTCCACGTAAAGCGAGATTTAATGCAAATCTATGTGTCTAGTGTTTTTGATAGTGGAGTCTCCCGCAGGGTTTCTATCGGGGAGACGCCACTGTCTTCTTACACTTTGGCTGCGTTCCGATATTCACTGTCAGTACTAAAAATCTATGATATAAATATTTATATTTTTAAAACTCAATTTTTAAAAACCTAAAATTAGGTTAGGTTAGGTTAGGATTAGGTTAAGTGCACGAAGTAAGAGTAAGGAGATCGAACTCCGTGATACAAAAGTTGTCCCAATTTTTACGGTTCATTGGGAGGGAATCCGCTCAAGGGAATAGGTTTTTACGGTTGGACGCCATTTGCAAAACTGTGCATATACACAACTAACACATGTACACGTTTAGTGTATGTAATCTATCTTGTTACATATACTAAACGTGTACATGTGTTAGTTGTGTACATGCCATAGACTTATATAATAAACGGAACATTTATATGACGAAGTTGAAGACAACATTAAAGGACAGAAATAGTGCTGGAGTAGTTGTTTCTCTCTTTTACAATAAGAGCGGTGGGGGACCAATCATCTCACAAGTCTATACTATCACCTTTCACTATAACCAGAAAGAAGCCCATGGAGATAAAGGAGGAAGCGTTGTCGAAAAAAGGTGAAGCCTATGTAGCCATGTTTATATGAGCCACTAGTACTGCCATCTGATAGAACTTTACAATACTTCGATGAAATAATGCCCAGAATGATATTTTAAGAAATCTAAGAAACATATTTACTTAAAAAACTAACAAAAAAAACAAAATTTAATAAATATTAATTATAGATATTATATTATAGATATTTATAACATTTAATAAATATAGGTAAATAAATAA